AGGAACAAGTGTACGGCAGAGAGTAGAATATAGAATTTTAACATTTCGCGCTCCAGCAAAACATACAAACTTGGTACTAGTGGTATCTTTAACAGATTTTCCCAGCACAAATTCAAGAATAATAGTGAATTTGTCTGTTTATTGCAGATTTTAGATTTTCTATCTTCTCTTCATACAGTATATTGCTAATGCTAATGGTTAAACCTAGTACCCAGCTGACCCCAATTGTGAACAACAATCTCAGGATCACCTCAAAGTTCCAGGCCCACACAGCCCTAGTGAGCTTCAGACCTGAAGACATAAAAATATACTTGTTGGGAAACTTGAATGATGTTACTATAACTATTATCTCTTAGAGTAACATGATTTTAACAAACCCTAACCCTAACTATACAGTAGGTCAGAATAAGGGGCTATACCAACTGTAAAAGATCAAATTGAGGTTAATTCCATGCTGAAATGTAAAGAGATTTTTTTTATTTCTGTTGTTTCCATTCCTCACTTTCTTTTCATTATCAAAAATGACCCATGAGGTTATTTTGTTTCTTCTTGTATTAAAGGCTTCTTCCAAGAGAGCTGCTTGTGAGAATGTGACCAATTTTCATATGCAGATACGGTACCTGCTGTGGTTTGGATTTAGTATCTAGTGTATGTCCCTGAGGGTTGCTGTCTCACAAAAGGCTCTTGGCCAGTACAACATATGGCTACGTAGGATTTATGCCCAGTCCTCAGCTTCTTTATAGGACTTGTAACTCATACTAATAGGATCTATTGTTTTGAAAAAATCAAAATCAGGCCATTTGGTAATATGTTAGGAAAAAATATTTAACAAATCTCTTGACTGACTCCATGGATTGTTGTAATATATGTCTGGATTCTGCTTTAATAATTGGTCAAACTTAAAGTTTAAAAGAGTGTCTTTTCACATTTCCTATTGATCTTCTTATGAGTATTATTTAGGCATGAAGTGTAGAAAGAAAATACTATTATAAATAGAATAAAGTGATATTCATAGCAAAATGAGTAGCAGAAAAATGAAAAATATTTTGAAACAAGTGTTATTTAAGGAGCTATCAGGATTCTGTTGAGAAATCTGTAAAAATTAACCTTATTCATTAAAAAGGGATGACTTTTTAATGGATTATGTTAATGGAACTTATAATCAAACATTTACTGAAGAGAGGAAAAAGGAGTACATTGAAGTGTCAGGAATATTAACTCCATCAGAATAATAAAGGAATATCAGGGCATCAAAACATTTTTGTAGGTAACCTCATGTGGGACTCTATGTAAAAGTATAATCACCAGATGAAAGGGCTGCACTTAATAGTGAGTTTCATATGAGACCTTGAGAGCACACTGCCTGGAGCAAACAGCAAAATGACACTTGGTTACAAAACTGACATGCCAAGGGGGAGGCACAATTTCAGTTCCCCCAAAGCACAGCTGTGAAGAGCTGGTTGCTGCCAGCCATGGAAACAGAGCATATCATCCAGCTCAGAGCTTGAAATGAAGCTGAAATCTACAGTTCATATCTTTGTTAATAGGAGAAAATGTTGACTCCATCAGGGGAAAAAATCAAATGCTAGATTCCTGGAGGCATGATTCACAGAGCTTTTCGAGTAAAATGCAACATGTGCTGATTCTGTCTCAAGCGCCCTGCATTCGTATGAGCTCAGAGTGACTCAGTGAATCGCATGTGTTGTCTATACACCCACGCACATTCTTCCTATTCCTCTACTGAAGGTCACCAGTTTAATTGGAGATAAGTGATCAAAAGAACTCTTTATGGTATTTCCATGGGGGTCTTTGTGAAGTGAATCTCTCTTCTGAAAGTGTGAACATTAGATTTCTTGTTGTCACTATCTTTTTCTGTTGGTCTTTCTGTATGGTACTTTCTGTTTAAGTTGACAATTTTTTTCAGTTTCCTTGCCTTCCCAGATAGGAAGAAAATTAAACTGTAGATACTAAAATTAATGGAAATCCAGGCACAGGTTGTGAAAAGTAAGATGGCAGCAGTGAGCTCATGGATTGATGCAACGTCTGAAGTGCTGACATGCTCAGATGCTAATTATTCAGCACTTTATCTCAAACCTAGACCTTGTATTGAGAAATCAGCAAGTACAAAATGTACTGAATAATCACACTGTAAAGGCAGAAAGTTTGGAATGTTAAGTGGTCAAACTAAGAGATAGTAAATAGAATACATTTACTAGAATATCAAAAAATGTCTACATAGTGGGTTGAATGGAAAAGAAGGAACTAAATGGGACAATCTGGTGAGATTCCTGATAAAAAGCATTTCTTATGTGAAGTCCAAATATGGCACAGCCAGACTTCAGCATGGAAAGAGCATATAAGGTATATGGAGACTGAGCTTCAGGAGGCCGTGACAAGCTTCAGGCATTGAATGTTTTATACCATTTTTTAAAAGCAGGCAATCTTGCACTTTTTGCTCGGATAAAGTATTTGTGATGCATTTTTATCCAGCCTACCGTCCAGAAGAGAAATACATTTTTTTCAGGAGTGCGAAGTGGATGGTTGGTGTACGCTTTTTCTGTTCATATAATTTCGCCATGGTTGCAGACAGTATCCTTGGTACAGAAGGCAAAAGAGTTAATTAGATCTGAAAGGTTTGCTTTGCCAACTGTAATAGAGTAGAAAGGTTAGGGGTATTACGTTTGTGAGTAAGGTTAGACTTAAGCCACCTCTATTTTGGGGAGAGTGTCAGCTCAGAGTTTCAGGAAGAACATACAAACTCCATGTAAATAGCACTTCAGAAGTGCTAACCATGATTCCACTGTTCTGCCCAAGTGCGATCTTATTGACTCTTAGTTTTGACCCCAATTAGGTCCTATTCTGCCTTAAATCATACATTCTGCCATTGATGAAGGTATATTTTGGAGGGGATGTTAAATACTGCAGTTGTGCAGTAGCTATACTATTGAAGAATTAGGAACTTTCACTTTTACCTTTTCTAATTTTCTCAGTCATCAACATGTTTGCTAAGGCACTATCATGTTGCCTGGAGGTCTGTATGACTAAATTACAATAGTCCACCTAAGAAGACAGACTTTATCAAATGTTGTCTCCTATCTAATGTGAACCATCTTTGGCATGGCAAGTACTCACAGGTCTTGGGTGCTGGTGTTGATTCTGGACAGTGGATCTTGGCACTGTCTGGGTACAGTTTGCTTTTTTTTTCCTGATAAAGACAAGGGTTTTCTCTTTGTCTTGCAAAGTCATGCTGGTTGGGTTATCTACTGTAAGTTATTACCTCCAGTGGAATTTCATCCCATCCATTGTTTTGTCCTACCTAGGAAGAAAAACATGAACTGAAAACAGTGTTCTTGCACAAAGTATGAAGCATAATTCAAAACTCAATATACATCAGTTATATCAAGAAAAAAGTCAATTTTTTAACTACAGTACTTGATTTAAAAACAAACTGTTCTTCCAGTATTCCTTTTTAGGCCTTAATCCATCAATATTTATTTCCTCTTCAGCTCTAGACATAAATAAGAACCTGCAACAAATTTGTTCTAAATAAATTGCTTTTACAATGGTACTCACAACATCCTATCCTCTCTTTTAGTGACAAATTTTAAATTCATGTTTCCTAGTGACAGTAACAATGATAAGGACAAAGAATGCCATTTAAAAGGAATAATACTCAGGCCAGTCATAGATGAGTAAACCCCATTATATGTTATAAATATGTATTTGGGAAATGTGCTTTAAAACAAAAGAACTTATGGATTATCTGTTCTGAGTAGAGAATTAATTACCGTGCGATTGGTTTGCATATATCTATATCATTATATGGCATTATAAGGTGACTAATAGAAAATGTTCAAACAAAGCTACTCAGAATGAAGCTCTTTCTAAACAATTCACTCAGCTTGTGGTATTTACATACAGCTATTGCAATAATCCTGGAGGAAAAAAGATTATGAAATGACAATTTAGATCTTAGTTGTTTTCAGAGCTAATAAAAGTTTTCCACTATTGCTGAAAATAGTTCTAATTATCATCATAATGCATCCTGAAAGTAAGCTAGATTTTCATGTCACATTTAAAGCATATGCACACAACAGAGCTCTGTCTTCTAATTATGTGTTTCAATGTGCCTTTTTATTCAGAGAATGTTTAATTAAAGGTTGTGAGCTACACAGCCTGTCTCAGGTTAGAGTAGGTTCTGAGTGCAACTCTAATTGACAATTATCTCAAAATTAGAAATGTGCCTGTACAGTATTTCAATATTATAGATATGCACATTTTTAATATTGTGCTTCATAGTTTAACAGTATTTCTCAATTTACATTTTTTTACAAAGTGAACGTCATAGGTACAGTATGTACGTATTGTGTGCAACTAAGCAGGCTGTGTACTATTGTTGCTGTACTGTATGTGTCACGGACTTGAAAGCTTAAAATACATCTTGAAGTTCTAATTTTCTATTAAACTAGCAGACATGACACACTACTCACATGAGGCTTCTCTTTTTTCAGGCTCTATATTACTATTCTGTTTTGCACTTTAACAGAGAAATCATCATTATAATAACTGCAGCCTGAGTATAATTGGGTAAAGCAAATTAAAGCTTAGCAGATGGCATCCAAAGGTGTTTCTTGGTCATTAATCCACCTTTATAATACATTTTATGTTTGAATTTGGCATTCGTATTTTCACGTGTTGAGTTTGATGATGATGATAGCTGTAATGTTTAATGTTTTTAATAATGAAATTCCACCATCACAAAATGATGATGGACATTCCTTTGTGTCCTACCAGACAGTATACTGTATACAGTAATTTAATATTTGTTGTGGTACTGCATCTTTATATAAGTTGTTTAAACATGAAACTCAGAGTTAAATAAAATTATTTTCATTTTTATTTCAAATATTTATTGAATGCTTGACATTGGTTTGAAAGAGAGGGCATGTTAACTTCAAAGTTCTTCTTTCTAAAGTCATTTTCTATGTTTTTTTTCCTAGAGGATACAGAATACTACAGATACCCTTCAGAATTTGACAGAGAGAAACATGACTGACTTCCTCTTGAAGAACTATCAGAAATCAGGGAAAAACAGGTATATTATTTCAAAACTGTCTAGAATGAACAATGGAAAAATCAAGTTGATGGTGCCTAACTGTTTTAGGAAAAATAACTTGTTTTTGAGGTACCCTGAAACTACAGTATGTAACTTAAAATACTTTTCTACCTTTTCTCAGTTTCTTCGGAGTGTTTTTTTTTGTTAAAACTGAATTATGTTCCCCCTTTTAAGATTATATTTCTTACCAACTTTCATTATTCTTTGCATTTCTTTTCCTATGCATTGTTCATCTCCTTATCTACGTGGTTATTTCTTTGCTATTTTATATTATTAAAGAACCTTTCACATTTACCTGGATTTAGTTAGTTTTATTACCTGGTGAGTATGCTTTTTTTTTCTGAACTACACATAGTTTAACAAACAACCTAATACTGAAGATTAATTCTAAACTTTGTTGAGGAATCGGTGCAGTTCTTTTGGAATACTATTAAAATGAGTTGCACTGTCTTGTTCCCTAAAGATATGGAGGAATTTCAGTTGGAGGAGTCAACTCGCAAGTCAGACTAAATGAGACTGAAATTGCAGCTGTTGTCAGGGAGTTGAAAAACATCTTCAACTCTTCCGAGGTATGAAATTGAAATTCTGAGGTGAAATCGCCAGGTGCCATAAGATACAATAAGTGTGTTTAATGTATACAGTAGCTGTAGAGTAGTTGTACCCAATGTTTAAAGAGCTGAGAGAAACAATGCTGGAGAACATGTCAGATCTACAGAACAGCAGGGTTATAGATATTTCTAAACTAAATATTAGAGATCTTGCCTAATACCATTTATCCACTATTGCACCTGACACACACACACGATTACTTGATTACATGTTATTTATGTTAGGTTATTACATGTTACTGTATTAACTATTGCTATTGTGTAACTGTCTATTGTCTTATCTTCTGTCCTATTTATATACTGCACCTGAGTGACTAATGAGAAACACTTTTCATTATACTATGCACCTGTGTAAGTTTAATGACAATAAAGTTGAGTTGAATTGAATTGAATACTGTAGTCTGCACAAAGCCACCTGGGCAGGGGTCAGTTCGGGTTTGAGAACACTTCTATTTCAAGGTAGGGCAAGAGCACAGCAATTGTTGATAACTGTGAAAAAAATGTAATTGTCTTGATGTGGTGTTGCAAAGAACCATAATATTCCATATACAGTATGTTATTTGGCTACTCAGCCATTTTGTTGATGTGGATGCATCTTTTTCAAGAAATGACTGCACAAAATCCTTGGATCAGTTAGCTACTATCAAATGGGTGGAATGGACCCCTCCTGTTTATAACCTTTCTTATGTACTGTATATTGTTTTATTTCTTAAGACAAAAATATTTTTCTTTTTTTTCTTTTGCACCAACTATAAGAAATATGTCCTATTTAAGTCATAAATTTATTCAGAGGTTCAGTGTTGAGGTAGAGCAGAATTCTAGTAGCCACTTCAAGTTCAAAGCATTGTTTTAGTAGAAACAACAGTAAATCAGTACAGAATAGATTAATAATGAAGAATAGTAGTATTACTGTATGTGTTAACCTAGTATCAGAGGCTGATATCAGTAATATTTCTGATTCTCTTGTAAACTGACAGAACAAATTCAAAAGTGATTTCTTCCTTGTTGTTACTGTACATCCGTGCCCCAGTCTAGATTTCTTCTAACTTTAATTCAATCATAAATAGGGAAGCAACCCAACAAAATTAAAACAGAATTGGCTGAACAGGAATAGAGAGGATGCCATTCAGTTTACTATGTTTCTTAATCTTGATTAGAACTGAATTCATAAAGTTATTTTTTTTATCTTATGACTTAATCTTATGTCTTCCAACAACAAAGATCCAACAATAAAGACATCTCAGATATTTTATCCCAGAGGCAAGTTGGCTGGAGCACCTAAAGAACAGTTTGATTAGGAGATCTTTGAGCCAGTTTTTGTTTTCTTTGCTTATTTTGCTACTTTTGCTTTTTGAAAACATCATTCTGACATTTTTGGGATTCAAAGTTAAGGGATCCTTCTCGGATATTCTCCTTCCACCTGGATTTGTTAAAGATGATAATCTCCGCGGGGTTCACATGGGAGAAACAAGAGCCATCATCTTGTCTGAACTTACAAGGTCTCGCTCTGTTATAGCCTTCACCAGTCTGTCTGGTGGATGACTCACCATTTACAAATCACACTCACTGATGACTGACCGAGCTTGTGATTTGCGAACCCGTTATGAGGAGCACTTTTAGTCTGTGCTCCACATTGATTTTCAATGACTGCAATGCACACATATTTCAAGGTGTCAACACAGCTTTCTTTCTTCAGTTTCAAACATCTTGTGCAATATGAATTCCAAAAGCCTAAACTGACCCTGAAAAAATGTTGACATGACCTTTGCGGAAGTAGAGACCACTAATGTTTCCATTAAATGCCTGGTTGATAGAGATATAGTTTATTTAGAACATATTATCATAGAATGTTTGTTTTTGACCACATATCAACAGTCTCTGTATTATGATAGTTAATATTTATATTATAGTTTCATTTAATTCTATATCTAGTTCTTGAAATTTTGTGAAGTTGCCACTTCATGCTATAATCAAATTTGATTTGATGTGATCTTTGATTTGATTTCTTATTTTTATTTCATGATTTCACTTTTTCACACAGAATGTGTTTTCTATTCTTGTATGTTTATTCATGCAATACTAGTGTATTTCACTAGTGAAACTTCACTATTATATCCCTGAGACTGTCTTTTGTAATTATTTTTATAATTATGAGATTGTTCACCAGGAACATATTTAGGTCTTATACGAAGATAAGCTCCTTTTAAACATGCTTTTATTTTTCATGGATAATGGGTACAGAAAAGGCACTTACTTTTCAAGTTTCACAAGTTGCATACTCTCCCATATATACTGTAAGTAAGTTTTTGTTCCACCTTTTAAACACTAATAAACCCCTGATGTGAAAAAAAGTATCTTTATCCAATTGACACCAGAAAAACACCATAAAAGAATTATGTAGTTTACACTGCATCCACCCTTTTCCCAGTGCAGTTTAATATGCAATATAAATATATTGATTTTCTGCTGCATAAGTACAATTTGTGTATGATCCCATAGCTTGAGCGAAAAAATGGAATTAATCAAATTGCTAGGTAATAGGATTTTATGGGTTTCTCCAATAATAAAAGAATTTTTCACAAATATTTTGTTCAGTGAATTATGGAGCCATGGTGTGCCCTCAAGAAGCATTATGTTTCATCTCTCACTCTGTTTCCTTTGCGTTATTGCTGTCCTTGAGGAGTAAAATACATTTGGGATTTGATTAGCTACTGTAAATGCCAGCTGTATTTTCTGCTCTTTTTACATAATGCTATGTCTAGATCAAGACATACATCCAGTCTCATAGTTAATCTTGAAATGAGCTGTCTTTCAAATCTCTACCTTAAATCTGGCAAACTACAAACTACAACCTTTTTATTTCCTTCTGAAGAAAAACAAGTGAACATACACTAAATTTATAGTGTATGTTCACTTTTATGCAAAGAAAAGCTTGTTGGCACAACATACAAAGCTAATTACCTAACCCTCTACTTGAATCTTGAAGTGAAGATATTTTATACATTTGCTTGTCCTTATTTTTCATAGTATTGCTAATGCATTCAGCTGGAAGATTGTAAGGATTAGAAGTGAATGCTAATGTGTTTCTAGACAAGATGATATTCAAATGTTATTACCATAAAGCTAGAATCTGTTTAACTATGAATAGGATGGGATGCTAAAAGTTTGTGGGTGGAGAAACTGAGACTCAATAAATAATGACAATCTCTACATTAGCTTGCAGGCTTATGCTTCAAGTATTCTGTACTTAGAATGTGTATTATACTTATATAAATAGAATATAAATAAAACAGGATTGGAAAGATTATCGATACTTGTATTTCAAATTAAATATCAGGATTATTGAGCTTTTTGGAATTGGAATTCTAATTTTTTTAAATTCTCTTATTAAGGACAATGGCATATTCCAAACTCCTCCTATTTGGTTATCTAAAATAAAATATGAACAGCTTTTCCTTTTTTGTGATACAGTAGTAAAGCAAATTCATTTTCATGTTTTCGCCACAATACAATTAATTAAAACAATTCTGACCATTAGTTTTTTAAATATAAAGCCTGAATATTCTAATCTATTGTACACCCCATGTCAATTGTGTAACTGTACAGAGATAACACAACACTTAAAATAGAAGAAATATCCATTATTTACAGTACATACAGTACCTGTCCCCAGCAGAGGTTTATTTTGTAAGCTTTGTTTTGTATGAAAACTCTTTAATCCTAGTACAGTATGTAGGAATGAATAGTATAAGAGTCTAACATGCCCTGAAATTAAGTCTTGATGTCAGTGCTAGATTCCAGTAGGATAGTCATTGAAACATCTCAGAAAGATACAAATAGAGCACTGTACAGCATTAGTAGATGGTGTAGGAAAAACTTGTAAGAACTACTAACCAGAAATGTCTAGAAAAGCATTCGATTCTGTAATTCTCTGTTTGCATTTCAAATTTAGATATGCTTTCCCATGTGTGAGCAATTAATTTGTTCATTTATGTATCTTAGATAAACATAACTGAACAGATAGCCCAGGATGCAGAAATGTTCATGAAGAAACTTGGAACAAAGAATAATGTCAAGGTACTGTACCAAATTTAAATTATATTTTTGTGCAGTGAAAAATTTAATATGATATAAAACGTCTCAGTGAAGAATATGGTTTTCCAATATACTGTAAATATCATACAATACAACAATATTATTCCCTCTTTTTCAATTATTCTATTATTTTCTCTTAGGAACACCAGCAGTGCCTTGTACATCATGTGAAGGATAATATTGCTTTAAAAAGGTTTATGAATGTTCCTTCTTTTAATGTATTTTGATTTTTCAAATATCACTTAACATAGGATGGGGAAAAAAATCAGACAAGAATGCAGTGCTCTGTTGCTTAGTCTGGTTTTTGTGAGCAACATAAATCACACAACACAAGTAACTTAGCTCTTTAAACTTGTGAACTACATTAACCTGATGTGCTGCAGTTATCACATGGATCAAGTCTTCTGGACACTAAGACACAAAAAAAAAACTTGGAGGCATAGATGTATACCAGAATAAATTGGGGTTTTGAGCTTTTCAAATTATTTTTTGATTAAAATAGTGACTTTCTTGCAATGCAGTTTTAATGACAACATTCTATCTTAATAATGAAATGTGATAATAATTTTAATACATACTGTATGCTAACTTCTTCTAGAGGAGCAGAAGAATGTTTTAGCAGAAAATGTGTACAACCTTTTTAGTCCATGTCAAAACATGATACAGTCTTTGAATAGCATACTAGGACTTCTCTTCAAGGAGGCTTTTCATTTTTCAAAGAGGAATAAAGACTTCCAAAAATTAGATTCATTTGAAGATGTTCATTGTTTTAACCTACTTGGCTGAGGGCAATCCCCTTGGCCATAAGAAAGGAGGCTGGGACCACCACAGAGGGAAGAGCTGACCAAGGGGCGGCTGCAATTGGAAAGATGGAGTGGAGGGTGGGGGAGAGAGGCGAAATGTGTGAAGTGGAATATTTGCATATGACTGTAAATATTGCTTCAAGAAATAACATGAAATTTCTAGGATTTAGACCAGCTGGGGAAAAAGGCTTGCATGTCGTAATCTCTCACAAACTCCTTTTAATAACATCCAGTTACTGACTTATTTTACCAATGTACTCTAAGTCAATAAGGCCATTTTCACAAGTTCCAGTTAATATTAAATTAAGTTGTTTTACTTGCTTTGTTTTAAACAGTATGCTCTTAAGGCTTCTTTTTTTTGCAGGTGTGGTTTTACAACAAGGGGTGGCATGCTATGGTTTCTTTTCTGAATGTAGCCAATAATGCCATCCTGCGGGGGAACTTACCTCCTGATCAAGATCCCAGTGATTATGGCATTACAACATACAATCACCCCCTCAACCTCTCCAAGGAGCAACTATCGGATGTAGCTATGTAAGTGAGTTCTGCTTTCTGCCTCTTAATGCAACTTGGAAGAGAAGAAATGTAAAAAAGAATCAGAATTAGAGGGTGAAATAAATGGGTAATGGAAAGCCTTTTTGTAGAGTATCATTGCCTCATACAAGGGAGAGAATTTCTGGGTAGGTTAAATCACAGAATAATGTGTGTGCCTATATCCCTATATACAGTAACCTACATCAGTGTGTAACACTTACTAGCTTTTGTATTCCTCAATTAATGACAATAAATGATTTTAATGTCTTGGAAGATTAAGTTAAGACACAGAATATAAATTGTCCACGATATCAAAAATTTACAAGAGAACCCTGCGTACCTTTGTGCTAGTTTTTAGATTGAGTCTTTATCTGAATGAATGAGAGGAACATCTTCATGTACAGCAAGCTGTAGAAGAGTATTCAATACGTAATGCTATTTAAAAAAAAGTTAATTAAACCATTCATCCTGGTTTAAAAGGTATAGATAATCAGTCTTACGTTATAGACTGTGACACAACAATTGCCCATACAAATACAGTATAATACTTAAATATTATTACCCATACAATACACTACTACAATATTTAAGTACATACAGTATATTAGTACACCATGTACCATTTAGTACAGTTCTGTCCCAGACTTTGTTGTTATTATTTGAGTATATACAGTAGTTATTCGGTTCATTTTATGATCTAATTATTAAAATAAATATATTACAATAGACTAAATACCTAAGTATATGTATATACAGTATATGTATCATTGCATAAAGCATGTACAGTAGCACAGAGCGGGAAGGCACATGATACACAAGATGTAGTCACTCAAGAGAACAGGTAGGCAAAGATGAGTGACCAATGAGCCTTGTAAAAGGCGTAACACTTGCACAGAATTGCATGTCAAGAGGTACAGATAAATGTGATCTGACATCAGCCACAGCCTCTGTGTGAATGATGTGGGAACTGGTTAATGTGAAGAAAATAATATGCATAATCATTAGGAGATGTTATTAATGGCATAATGTCATTGAGAAATGAGTACAAAATATTGCAAGCAGAACAGAAAAAGGGGTAAGAGGGCGATAGATAGGGATATTAAAAGGGATATTAAAATGGAAGCTACAGCCAATTAAATAATGAAAACTTTCAGTGGTACAACTGCAAAAGAATCATAAATGAAGTAAAATGTATCTACGAGAACAGTAGGAAGCCTACAGAATGAAAAGTGAATGACCGAATGAATATTTCACTTACTGTGTGTACTCCCCAAGGAAGAAGTGAACAATATGCCTCAGGCAGCAAAAGGACGATGTTCTGTGTCAAATGGTTTTAGTATAGATGAGGTAGACATATTTTGGTACTAGAAGCCATCATGATTGATACAGTAAATCTCCAGGAACTGAAGATATCCTACTAATGTACTTATGGAAACAAGAGATATTATTCATATGCCACTTACATGTATGCAATTCTTCATTCAAGAACTGCTAATATAGTCTCCTTCCATAAAAAGGTGCAAAATGGAACCAGGTTTAGACCAGTGTCTGTTCCCTGTTACATGTAGGGTTATGGAAACAATAATTGGAATAAAACTAAAAGATAACCTATATGGAAATGCTGGGGGATAGATTGGATTTAGAAATGTTACGACTTGTTTAGCTAATTTATTAGAGTTCTTTGAACAAGAAAAAACAGTATTGAACACACAAAGAGCATTTGAAACAAACCATTTATTTACTTAGGATTATGATAGATTCATCATATAAGATCTGTCCATCTACAGTATCTATTTTCTAACTGCTTTTATCAGTTCAGGTCTCTGTGAAGCCGGAGCCTATCCCAGCAAACAAAGGGCGGCGGGCAGGGTGCACCTTTGACTGAACACCAGTCTTATTACAGGGCAGATATCCAAATACATACGCACACACACTCGCACCTAGAACCAAATTTCCCAGAAGCCTTATTCTTAAACCTATTTCTATAGAGAACCGTTGATAGACTGAAGAAATGGAACATGAGGGGATGAGGGGGTGCTCAGCTTGGAGTGATGTAATATGTGGGATAGGAAAGGGATTGTAATAGAACACAAAAGATTGTTGTAGTAAGGAACAGATTAACAAACCATGTTGGGGCGGTGTGGTGGCTCCGTGGCTAAGGACCTGCGCCAGTGGTTGCCGATTTATATCCTGCAGCCAGCGGCAGAATCCTATTCCGTTGGGCTACTGAGCAAGGCCCAGCTGCTCCAGGGGTGCTGTATAAATGTATGACCCTGCGCTCTGACCCCAAGCTTCTCTCCCTGTCCGTGTGTCTCATGGAGAGCAAACGGCGGTACGTGAAAAGACAAATTCCTAACACAAGAAATTGTATATGGCTGATAAAGCGATCTTTAGCTTTTGAGATCAATTAGCTACAATAGAACCAAATCAGGTTAAATCAGGCAAATATCCTCCTCTCATTTGTAATCATTTGTATGTTCTTATGTTCTAAAAGTTACTAGGATAATTTCAAGTTAAAGTTTAAATAATTGATTTTCTTTTAAACCATTACAAGCGCAGCAATGAAGCAAAAACCTGTGGTTTGTGGAGGAGATTAGGAGGAGCTTTTTTTAATCTTAGTCATTAATTTGTCCTAGGATTATGAGCGTCTGAAACAAACTACCACAAACATGTTGTTAAAGCCAACTGTCTTGAAAATGTTCTATTTCTGATTGAGAATGTTGACATCAATTGACTTAAGAAACCAAATAAGACAGATGTACCAATCAAGTTAACACTTGTGCAATCTGCAAAAATAATTTAAACAAATTCAAAACACCTGACAGGTCAAATTTAATGTAGACAAGTACAGAGTGCATGCAAATAGCAATAAAATTAACTATAAATATAAAATGGGACACACTGGGCTCAAAAAGGCTGCTTATAACAGATCTGTGTTGATATCTTTTTCATCTTCTAGACCAGGGGTGCACAACCTTTTTTAATGTAAGATCTCCTTTTTTGCCAGTACAGCGCGATCTACCAGTGTGAATTTGAAGCTCTAATTTAGGAAAAACAGACATTGGGCACATAAGTACAATAACAATACCCATCACTAAAATGACAGCAAACAAAAGCAAGTGACTCATGCTACAGTGAACAAGTAATGTCCCCATTTTAGAAAAAAAGAATAATCTACCTTAATGTGAGCATTGGCACTGAGAAGCTTATTTGAGAACACTTGTTATTATTTTGAACGTGTTGACACTGCTGATCATGTAGATTACATTTTTATTTTATCCCTGCAGCTCGAAATTCAGCTCATTCAGAAGTTCAGTCACGTCTGTGAGGGATGTTAAATCCAGAAGCCACTGGTCATCCTCTAATTGGGCATATTCACCATGTTTAGACGACCTGAGAAACTCTTTGATTTCAGGCAACAGCTGTCTGAACCTTGCCAAAAATGTTTGTTTTTGAAATCTCCAAACAGCAAGTCAGCAGCCTCAGCAAATTTTTTTTTATTACTTCTAATTACGATCCCTGAATGACTTTTCGTGTTTAGCCAGAACGTGGCTCACACGGAACGATGCGATGATTGCCGCTTTCTCTCTTGTATTAGGCCTCGCGAAAACCGACTGCTGCTACTTTAGTTGAGATGTTAATTTTTCTACTTTTCTTCACGCAACTCACTTTTAGCGAGAAAGTCCACAGCATGCGTTTTGTGTGCAGTTTTGCAATGTTGTTCTATATTTCCCTTTTTCGCGTAGACGCTAGCATTGCAGATTTGAATGCGAAAGTACAAAATAATAATCATGCTTCCATTCCTTGTGGTAACAGTAAGTTTTCGGTCTTTTTGCTTCATCATTTTCGCTCAGACACTACAACTATCAAATAGGCGTTCTAAATTTGTCACATAGCATAAATAATCATTTATTTTTTGCCATTCTTGCGATCAACTGGTTGGGCACACCTGTTCTAGACCATGTGGAGAAGCAATAAAAAAGAAAAACTAAAGTTATGATTTGGAGCTAAAATAATAGAAGTTAAAACAAGGGATGGTATGTTAAATTCTGAAATGCATTATTAAGATCTAATGTAATGTATTGTATTCACGTTCTGTCATTGTGTTAAAAATCATCTGGAATTAGTCAAAGGAAAAACAGCCAGGTACATTTCCATGCTGAGAAAAACATTTACAGTATACTTTGAGAGGCTGAAAGTAAATCTAGTCTCAAACAGAAAAGAAAAACCTTATGGGATAAACGGTCTCCTCTCATTTGCAGACTTTCTTAGTTTTATTAAGCTATTATTCTTATTACAGGTGTTAAGATATTTATTCAATATTTTTGACCACGTCAATCCTCAAAACCTGTAACATTTACAGAAGACCTACATTTTTTTAAACTGTATGCAATATCACATCTTCTATACATCTATAAGAAAAAAAATATTTTTGTCTAGCAAATGTAATTGCCTTCATGATGGACCATTTTAAAATTATTTAACATCTTAGAGTATTCTCCCCAGCACAATAAAACACAGCTCCGTGCTCTGAGTTCCTGCATATGTTAACGTTTTAGTAGAGTGGTTCAATGTGATTGACAAGAGTAAATCAGAAATTCTGAGCGGAGCACAAGGATAATTAATGCAGATTGCACTCTGTGTAGACATAGTAAGCCCATTCTCTCTTATGGTCTTACAGGCCACAAGCGATTTATTAGCAGTGATCTATGGATTAACTTTAAATTCTGCTGCCTTGTGAAATTAATGTCAGAAGCAAAAAAAGCTAATAGAATGAATGCAAGAGTGCATGAACCAGCCAATTTGCTTCACACCATCATGTCATTTCATGATACCTTTTTATTCAAGAGGTGTCATCTGCAGACTTGTGGTTTTAATGTGCTCAATTGCGTCCAAAGTGTGAACCCTGTGGGATCATTGACCTAGTTCACATTCAGTCTGCTTTCTTCTGTCTTGTGCAGTAAAATTAAAAACGAAAGCCGCAGTGAGACAAAATGAAA